GTACAGTACATAAAATTCTCAACTTTCGCACATTGCGCATTTAACTTCGCACAATAAATTCGCGGTTCGGATAAGACAACGTATTGGGCGTCACAGGTAAGTGCGACCGGGGTGTTTGCTTAATGAAATATCATTCCTAATTTGGATTTGGAAGATATATGCGTCTGTATATCAAAGTTCCATAATCGATATATTGTTGTGTAATATTCGGAGGCTATGAGTTAATCACAGTTAAAAGATTTATACTCGTAAAATATAGAAGACTGGTAAATTAAGACTTGGGTGAAAATGTCTTGGAGAAGCGACATTCGTGTTGTTGTTGCTATAGGTAAAAAATCTAAAATTTAAAATATTCTGAACGTTAAAAATTTATTCATTTCCTGAATTCTTTATCCAGATTTCGGAACCACGTACTCTGTAAGTTTGAAATTTTGATGCATCAAAGAACTTGCTTTATCTAATCATTATCTGATTAAAAAATTTATCAGGGCTTCGCTTATGCGGTACAGTTGATTTCATCTTGCTTCTTGAAATATGTATCCATCAAGGACACCCTCATTCATTCTCCAAATTTTTGTCTCAACAGCATAAACAGAATCCAGAAATTATAACGAACGATGTTTGGGTGAATACTGTTGCATTCGTGACCTTTAACATCGCATCGCTTAAAATTAGTATTAACACCCTTCTTATTTTATTTGTACTAGCCGGAAGTAATCGGAGCCATCAAGACCAATACTGTGCTTCAATATGACGAAAAGTATAAAAATGTCGAAGAATGGGGTTACCCGGCACTGGCCAAGAGGCCTCAACGGAAAGGTCGTGGCAAGAATGTTGTCTATAAGCCAATCGAATTGTTTAAGCTTCACTTGGGAAACATGCCAGAATCCGAGAAGCCATTCTTACCGAAAGGGTTGGATTATAGAAAAGCTATTACGGATTATTTAAGAGAGATGGGTGAGTGAGAATAAATAGTGATTAAGCTTATTACGCATTCCCCAATAATTACTAATTTTAATCTTTTTAACTCGGTAATATTGAATATTAATAATAAATGACGAAAATTAGGCAAGGTAAGGAAAATTTAAAATTATTCTCAAGAGATAGCCCTTTTGTCTAATAGCTATGGTTGATCAACAGTTAATCAAAGGAACGACTGAAAGGTGCTGGCCCGGTCTAGATCATTTCAATCATGTACTGCTGGTACTAACTGTACCAGCCGAATATTCCGAAAAATCAAAGGGAATATTAAGAGAATGTGCGTTTAATGCAGGATTAATCGGTAATGTGAACTCTGAAAAATTGCAATTCTCAACCGAGCGTAAGTGCCTTAACTTTTTATTTTTCAGGAATAAAAAAATAAATAAATAAATAAACCAATATCACTTCTTTTTTTTTTTTTTTTAAAAAAAAAAAAAAACTAGCCGAAGCTGCTGCTATTCATTGCATGCGAGTGTTAAAAGAATATTTCGTCGAAACCGAAGGCAGTAGGTGTTTTCTTTGCGCTTAGTTTACATCTTATTTCCAGTGATTCATTCATTTGCTGTTTAATTTGCAGAAAGTATCCTAATTGTAGACTGTGGAGGAGGAACAGTTGATCTGACAACTCGCAGATTCATAACAGGTGATCAACTGGGTGAGATAACCGAGCGTACCGGTGATTTTTGTGGAGGCTCATATGTAGACAAAGAGTTTTTAAAATTCATGAAACGCCATGTTGGTGATCAAACAATAAAAATACTAGAGGAACAACATTACGGTCAATTGCAATACATGGTTCAAGAATTTTGTCGGCGCGTGAAATTACCATTCACCGGAAATCCGGAAGAATTTAAAATTTTCGAACTGGACCTCGAAGAGGTGTGTCCAGTGATTAAACAATATGTTATGGGATCGTACAAGGAAAAATTAGAAGAGAACGAGTGGATAGTAGAACTTGATTTCGAATCGGTGAAAGCGATGTTTGATCCCATCGTGGGAAGGGTAATTCGATTGGTTTCCGGACAACTTAACTCAGCTGGTGATGTATGTAATGTAATGTTTTTGGTGGGTGGATTTAGTGAATCTAAATACCTGCAAAACAGGATTCGACAAGAGTTTACAGATAAAGTAAAGAACATTGCAGTTCCCAAGCAGCCTCAAGCGGCCATAATGAGAGGCGCTCTAGATTACGGACTTAAAATGGATACCATTAGAACTCGAGTGTTGAAATATACATATGGCATTGAGGTACAATGTCTACACGGAATGTTTGATCCACCGGAACGGAAGATTGATGGAAAGTACATCTTTAAGTTTCACAGGTTGGTTGAACGTGGACGAGAGGTGGGGGTGGATGAGGCTTTTGGAGAGGTGTTTAGACCATTGGAACACACGACTAGTCTAAGATTCACGGTGTACCTAACCAAGGAATTGAATGGCACTTATTGTGATGAGCCAGGAATGTCGTTGCTGGGGGAAATCGTGATTGATATGCCAGACACATATTTAGGGAAAGAGAGACCAGTCGATTTTAAATTGATGTTTGGTAGGATGGAGGTTACCGCCTTCGCTAAAAACCAATTGACAGGTCACGAATATAAATCCACCTTCAGATTGGATCTTTAATAGTTCATTTCTGCAATACCTTTAAATACTTTACGATTGAATTTTTAATCTTATCATTATATGTATGCAAAAAAAAAAAGACAACCACACGATGTACTGTAT